AGAGATAGCAGAAGAGCTAGGCCTTGGCAAATCCACTGTTGCAGATGGTCTGGAACGCATTGGGAAGGTGAAAAAACTCGACAATTGGGTGCCCCACAATCGGAGTGACCGGCAGGAATCGGCACGTCTCGAGGTTCCTTCTGCATTGCTTTTGCGCAGCAGAAACGACCTGTTTTTGGGCCGAATTGTCACCTGTGATGAAAAATGGGTCATGTATGATAACAGGAGACGTTCCGGACAGTGGTTGGATTTCGACGAACCACCGAGGTAATTTTCAAAGCCGAACCCTCACGAAAAAAAGATTCTGGTCACGGCTTGGTGGTCATCGGCTGGTGTGATCCACTATAACTTTTTATCACCAGGCCAAACCATCACAGCAGAACCCTACTGTGAAGAAATCGACGAATTGTACCGAAAATTTTGTCAGATGCAGCCAACACTTATCAAAAGAAAGGGTCCGATTCCTTTGCATGACAACGCCCGCCCACACGTTTCACAAATCACTATCCATAAATTGAACGAATTGGGGGTTGAAGTTCTACCTCAACCGCCATATTCTTCAGACCTTTCGCCAACCGACTATCACCTTTTCTAACATTTTCAGAACTCCCTTGCTGGAAAATACTTCAATCAGACCAGGCAAAAAAGCCTTAGTGGATTTCGTGAATTTTCGACCACCCAGTTTTTTACTTTGATGGGATTTCTCGACTGCTGGCAAAAGTGTGCTGATTCGAATGGTGCCTATTTCGATTAAATCCGATGAGTATTAAAAAAGTTACGATCGTTTAAAGTGAAACACCCAAAACGCTGAGAACTTTCCGGACAACCTAATAGAAAAGGACCTAGCGACAAGCTCATTCCACACCTCGTGGCACCTCCCCGACTTATCGCAACAATACAAAAAGCGCTAAAGCATATATTGAAGTTTCACAATTTCCCACTAATTTACGTCACAACATCTATCTGGGCATGCTCGAGCTTTCAAACGTGCGGTTCAACATACGGTCTTCTTTGCTGCAGATGCCAGCCCGCTTCAGCGAGGCTGGCTTGGCGCAGCACCAGCATATGATAGAGAACGGCGGTGCTCAACCCACTCACATGTCATAGCCTTGGAGCGAACAAGACTGTAGCATGTGAGACGGATGTGAGAATGCTCACCGTTCACCAAAAGCGAGAGTGAGGGGGAATTAGATTGTCGGATAGCAGTTCTTAACGAACACATGGCGCGGTAAAAAAGCAAATGAAAATATGGGCTTCCTATTGCGAATTTCAAAAGAAATTGTACCTTCAGCTACCATTTATCTCGAAGCATACTGCACTGCTTACCAGCCTACCAGAAGCAGATCTACCCAGCGAGTTTTGTTGGTGAACACCATAGGTGATCATCACTCGCTCCAATTTTTTACAACCGACTAGATGACGCATTCGAATGAGCCATCACTGCCTTCCGTGTTTGTACTGCCAGGATGGTCCTCAGAGCCCCTTCGGGCTAGCTACGCACCACATGACGCTGCGTCTGCGCTCAATTATTTTTCTTGCCTGTGCTCTGTCTGTACAGTTCACCTTCGTAATAGGTCTGCGTTTCAAAACGACATATTTCTTTTTTCTCCACAATATTCCTCTCTGCGAATGTCTGGGCTGTGCAAAAAGCAGAATCAACTGTGGGTTGGTTACGAAGTAGAAGAAATGAAAAGTCATGTGATCCACTAAATACTGGAGTAGGAAAGACTCGATTGTCCCGTCTGATCGCAAACATTTCACAACGTCTAACTGTGAAAATGCTTTTCTAAGTGAACGATGAATGCACTGGAGCGGAACTGATCCAACAAGTAATACTTCATATGTGATCACTTCCAATCATCAGTCCCCATCTTAGACAGCCCAGTGGTTATAATACAGCGTTTGTAAGCTTCTTTCTTCAGCTTGACGGTGCTCTAGACTCCCTTGTTCCGGAACCGCGCTGCCGTCTCATCCAATCGTCTATCCCAGGACTTCCTTTGCCCACTGTGGCCTCTGCTGCTCATGTCCACGTGTCCCTGACAGGCCCGTATGGGGTGGAGAATGCACAAGGCAGAGAAGGATAGCCTCAACCGAAGAATGTTGGAGGCTGGACTCCTAGACCCATTTGCATGTGTCGAACTGCAGTAAAGGCAACGCCCACGTTCATTTGATGTTGTCGCGCCCTCTCTGGATATCATAGCCCTCCCTATGAGGATGCAGTATGTACTAGTTTTGCATCTCAAAAAGGCGAGAGGATAGCGCCGTTTGCTAGTGAAGAGTCGGCCGCCCCAGCACAGGGTTCTATATAGGGCATTTCGTGATTTTGTTTCTGCTTTTTTCTTCACTACTGGATTACGTATCATATGATTATTCCTGAAGACGAGCTCGGCCTTTAGCCAAAGCAGTTATAGCAGCCAGGTGGGCGGGACGGCATCCTCTGAGCTGCAAAGTTAGTACAACCTCCACTCTTGTCAATAACGCTGCGATCTCTATAGAGGGCACAGATATATCAAATGAACGCGGGCGCTGCCTTTAAAGGCAGTTGGCACGATAAATCGCTATACAGGTGTAGGATTTGTACAACTGGCTTAACAGAATTCCGTGACCTCGGACAAGCCTTTTCCAAGGAGGGTACCTCTATAACGCCCTATTGAGCAACAACTTTACGTCCCAAACGCCTTCCTTGCCCGCCCGCCCACAAACGGACGACCGTTTCTGACGCTCGTATTCATTCATTTGCTGAGCAAATTATGAAGCAAAGGGATTGGTATGAAGCGGCGTGATGCTGCATGCATACATGGGTACACATATGCAGCCGTATCTTCGGTAGCGGTGATTGGTAAGATGCCTACGGGAAACTCGTCCGAAATCGATTTACAAGTCACTGAGAACGGAGGCTTTTTCTTCGCCGGATTTTGACCGTTTCACTCCGTTCTTTCGCCATTTCCCCCACTATGTAGCCCCCACTAGCATACGTCCTAGGAAACCATCGTGCCAACTGCCTTTAACTAGCAAGTCTCTATGTTGCAAAATATGTGCAGTCTGTAAGTTTGCAGTGAGTCAGACCTTCTCGGTACAGTTGGTTCATTATGAAGCAATCCAGTCGCCTAAAGAATAGCGCCTGGAAGAGAGCATACATTCAGATGGGAAAGTAGCAGGCGGCGCCTGCTGCGGAGAGAGGCTCAGTAACTGTAACGTCGATAGTATATGACGCCAATAAGAACAAATGAATGGAGCTGAACTGAATGAAAGTTGTTTGAATTCTAGGTATGGCTTCTCGGCTTGTACCACTCCTCGTCATGTCTTTACTGTGCAATGTCGCGAACGGAATCGACGTAAGTAACGAGAGTGCCGGCTTTGGTTCCGAAATGCAAAAACAATGCCCGCGATCAAGTTGTTTGTGCAATACCTCCATTCCGCCTTCATTTCGTGCATTCCGTAGCCACATTCGTTGTAACGGAGAATGTGTCTTTTTCTAGCATGAACGTGCGAGATGAAGCAGTCAAAGACGCATGACCTTTTGATACCACAACGTTCTTTCTCTCTTCTCTTTCTCTTTTTTTTGTTTCTTTTTCTTCACATAAGACTCGTTTTCGGCTACTGGTTCATAATTGAGCACCACCACTCATAGTCAGGGCACGTTCTGTCGCTGGGGGGAAGTGGAGGCAGGGATGTTTACAGGGGGGGGGGCAAAAAAAGTCACTTCGACACATATCAGCAAAGTTTTCGCTGCCCAGACAGAGGACGTGGATACGAGTACCAGGGCGGAAGATACCCAAGATGTTCCTCTATAAGCAGGAGCTGGCTCTCGCCCATCACCTTCATGTACACCAAAATATGAAGTCATCTCCAGTCGCAGCCTGACTGGAGAAGACCTTTGGAATTCATGTCACCTCCAAACAGCTGCGAAACTTCTAGTATGGAGTCACCCATGGATAGCTACCTGGAGACCTCCAACATCGAGCAGCTCCGACAACGTCGCCACGGTCTAGGACATCATCTTCACCACAGTCGCCAAGGCGCGGGTTGATGGTATGGACCGGACGTACCTGGAATGGAAAGACCAATATTTTCTTCGTGGACCCCGGACTGAAGGTGAGCGCTGGCGGTTACATCGAGCAACTCGTGAAGAATATCCTCTCATGTCGTCGCCCGTACCTTCTTGGAAACTTTGTACTGCTACAGCATTGGGTGCCACCACATGGAATCGAAGGGCATTGGAGAAACTCTCGCCTACTTGGAATGGAAGGGGGCTGAGTACCTAAAAAGGTGGAATATCCAAGTAGGTCACCTGACCTGAATATGGTGGTCTACGGTGGCGGAGAAATCGACTATCTCGCTGATCTCAGGCACCACATCGCGGTCGCGTGCCAGAATCTCTCGATGGCGCTCGTCCAGAAGGCTGTGTCATGATAGTATTTAATATGCTCTTTAATATGGTGGTAAAAATGTCCGATCAGAATTTAATAAGTGTAACTTATAGCGCCTCGAAATGTCAATGAAGGAAAGTCACTTTTTTTGCCTCTCTGTCATGTTCTACACACCGCGCCTAATGCCTTCGCTGCTACTGCGTAACGCTTCAAAATCGACGGCCACTAGCCTAAAGGAAGACAAAAATGTTGCTGACAACATAATGCCGATCCGAATGAGGTCTACCTGCGTAGAGATGGTCAAGTAGGCATACCTTCAACATTTTTCGAAACCGCGAAAAGTCAACAACCGGGAAAAACTTTTCCTCTGAAACCGCAAATTTAAAAAGGCAAATACGACCCCATTCCCCCACCAACGAGCAAATACGACTCATCCCCCCTTGAGGGTCCATGAAACAAGAAAAGTCACCCATCAGAACTATTGATTGTGGATTTTAGACAGTTTTTTCATAGAACGGAATAATTTTATCCTGTAATGCATCCCACGTGCATAAAACTTCTGTTTTTTATTAGCAAAAAACTGAATCAGGTGCGATTTGACATCATCATCATTATTGAAATTTTTACCATTCAAGGAGTTTTGTAAAGAGCGAAACAAAAAGTAAGTCTGATGGTGCATGTGGCAAAACATCCCAACCAAGCTCCAATAATTTTAAGATATGTGTCTTGCATTATCATGATGGAATACCACGCCTTTTCGATTTCTATTTCGGGCCGCTTTTCTTCAACAGCATTGTTTAATTTCGTTAGTTGTTCAATGTAGACATCAGAATTGATCGTTCGGTTGGGTGGTAAGAGTTCAAAGTAGACAATTCCTTTGTAATCCCACCAAACTGATAACAAAACCTTATTTGATGAATATTAGCTTTTGATGTTGTTTGAGCTGGTTCACCTGGCTTGCTCCACGATCTTGATATTGTTGTAAACAACCCATTTTTCATCGCCAATTATCAGCCGTTTCAAAAATAGGTCATTTTCGTTACGTTAAATCACAGTTGTTAAAGGCACAGTTCGCGACCGCAAATTGCGGGAAACGGAACTCAAATAGGCACAAAAAAGTGCTAAGTATCTGATTAGCGGAGAAAAGCAGCAGAAAAAGCAGTCCGAAATGTTATAGAGAAAGATAACATAGTGGCTACTAGCTAGTAGCTAGCAGCCGGTGAGGGTCGGCATGGGCCTAAGGGGTGTCCATGGGCCTAATTAGTCAGCTTCTAGCGGAGTTCTTGCCGTTTTTCACATTTTGAAAGTAGCGCAGCCTCAAAAATCGCCTTCCGGATCGTCCGACACATTTGAGAGGTCATAGCCTTATTTTATCGCGGAATGTGCCTTTAATGCGTTGCGCTAAATGCGTCTCTTTCAGTTCGTAAGGAACCCATGTTTCCACTTTTGAACATAGCCAAGCTGTTTTAAGTGATTTTCAATGCATGTATGTGATACATGGAGCTTCTCTGCGATCTCACGTGTTGTACTGTGACGATCCGAATCGATTATTGCTTTGATAAGGTCGTCATCAACTTCAACTGGACGACCAGAGCGTTCTTCACTTTGAGTGAAAAATCACCAGAACGAAATTTGGCAAACCAATTTTGACACTGCCGTTCTTTTAAGGCTTCGTCACCATAAACAGCACATAACTTTTTGTGAGCTTGCGATGCGTTTTTCCCTTTGCGGAAATAAAAAAGTAAAATATGACGAAATGTTCCTTTTGATGTTCCATTTTTCAACGAACGCCGAACAAAAACTATGCAACCAATCAAAAAACTTTTTATACCGATTGATAGCTGAATTGCCAACTGTCTAATAACAAAATAAGTTTTACACTTGCTCTACGTCAGCAAACCTAAAAATTCAACTGAAACCATCTATGAGTGAAATCCGCAATTACTTGATTGCCAACCTAATATTTTTTCCTGCCAATTACGACCTCCTTTTCCGCAGCAAACAAATACGACCGTATGACGTGGCTTGTCCATAACCCTTAATTGCGAGAATAGTCTTCACGTCATCGTATTTCGTAAACATTGAATCAGTTCTTCATTATTCGAACTTGAACGTGGCGAAACGCAGCTCAGAACATTTTCAGCTTTTCTTTATTCCAAGGGCAGCAACTAATGCCTGGAACTGGATGTTTGGCGGCCGCCCCCAAGACCAAAAGGGCCATGGTGGGCACCATGGTGGCTATGGTGGCCGCGGCCGCGGCGGCCACGGCGGCGGACGCGGTTAGTGCAAGCATTGGTGAGAGAATGGCTGGCAGCGATACAAACATTTTGGAGATCAATGTTCGTTTCGCACGCATTAATTCCCAGAGTTATACAATAAAGATGTATTCTCCACTCCGTTCGAGATGTCCACTTAAATATATGATTACAGTACTCTTCCAACTTTTCCCGACCCATTTATTTTGTACCACCTTGAGCAATATAAACACCAGAAAAATGCAGAAGGTCTACTAAAGTAAATGACATGAAAAAGACGCGAGGGTTAAGAAGTATGAATATGAAGAACACGAAGAAAGGCACAGATCAAACAAGGATGCAGAAGACTAGAACTGATCATAATGAGACACCAAAGAAAAAAGGAGGAAAAATGCTTGTGACAGCACTTGAATATTAATTGTTTGCGGGCAGCCATCCAAAGTTGTAGTTAGAGCATGTTTGTGCCGTGGTGGAGCGTGCTATTTCAGGTCCGAATTCACTTCCAAGCCTAGCACTCCTGAAGGGCCTCTTGCTTGAACAGTTATAATTTTTTTGAGAGTGGAGCTTTTGAAGAAAGGAAAGCAGGGCTGTGAAGCACTAGGTACACTTATCGCCTGACTTGAGCGATGTCAAAAAAGCCTCTTTTCAGAGGTACGGTCCGCGATCAGGTATAAAGGTTGAAAATATGGTGTCGGGAGGGTAGTGTGGACTCGACGAGCAATCTTGTAGCGGTTTCGCGACAAAAACTAATGGAGGGCGCTATAGCGGAATATAGGCTCAGTGACGCCTCCTCCAGACCCCGCCCTCAAAGCTCGCCTTCCAGTGAGAAACGAAGCGCTGGGCGAAAAAGCGTGAAAATCGTCACTTGTACGGTCGTAGAGTTCATACCGGGGAACCAATTGTGCGGATGAGGGCGCGTGTTGGAGATGGTGCTGATTGGGCTTGTATTAGGTTAGTTCATAAGTTCCCCCCCCTGTTTTGATCCTTCCGTATTTCGTTTGCATGGAGGTTGGTATTTCGTCATCACGTGTTCATGACGTGTACATG